GATATTGGGTATAACCTAAAATCTTTTTTGATTATGCAAAGGCATGTTAATGAACATTCATTTTTCTGGGAAAAACACAATTCTGCCTCTGATTTTTGTTTTTTCAGCCTACCTCTTAGCCTTGTCATTGTGCCAGGCCATCACTCTCCTTCTTAACTTTCTGGCAATACAGATAACCAAGTTGTTAAGAAATATGTGCTAAGAAGAGAAAATAGGTTGTGATTGAGAGTATAAATGACTTTTCTCTGGAGCAAGTGTATGGTTTTAATGCTGAGGCTGCGTGGCACGGTTTTAGGTGTTCTGCACCTACAGCTGTGTACAACATTAAGTTGCCAGAATGCTGGACCACCAGACAAGTGGAGAGTTACTGTACCTAATTAGCTCTAATTGAGGAGTCTTGCCACCATGGGGAAGTATTAAGGGAAGAGAGGAAGGGACATAAGATGTAGCAGAATACTTTATAGCAGAAGGGACATAAGATGTAGCAGAATACTTTTATATTATTCTGCTGTTATATTGCATTTACCCTTTAACATGAACACCTATCATCGTAACTAAAACCTTATTTTGTATAGCTAATTGTAGACTGAATTGATTGAATTAGCTGTTTCAGTAATTTGAAGTGAGAAAGAAAATGCTATGCAATCTCATTGGTTTAGACATCATTAATTCTCAATTTATGATCATTTGAGCAGAAACTAAACTAAGGTTTAGATTTGTGCTATGAAGAAAAGTCTTCCTAAGAAGTTTTGCAGGGAGGAAAAGTTTAAAGCTTCTTACAAAAACAACTCTTTCAAAAACCTTTGAGTGCTTTGGTATTTCAAAAAGTATTTCCCATTGCAATCACACAGTTTTAATATTTTTACTAATTCAACTTACTCTTTTATTTAATCTGAAATAATATAGTTTTATTATTAATTTTCTTCACATGATGAATTCCAGCAACACTAAATTGACAGTCTTCATGATAAAAACTTATTTACCAGAGTCCTTTTGTTCTTTCTTAAAATTTAATTAAGGTTTTAAAAACTGTATCTAAATCCACTACTGAAGGAATAAAATCCCACATATTAGAGTATAGTGCAAGAACAGTGAAAATCACATCAGCTGGGGAGAGTCATGAAATTTTAGCTTAGTCTTAACTCCATCCCCCTTAGAGTCTGTTTCTACATTGGTAAAATCAAGAATGTGCCCTGCATTCTGGTAGCATTATTGTGAACATCAAAGGAGAAAATAAGTATATAAAGTATACTTTATATAAGTATAATCATATAAAAAAACTTAGAAAATTGCTTCAAGTGCTATTTAACAAGGTAGTATTTTTTTTTTATTTATGTTTTAAACAAGTTTCAAAAGATTTTTTAAGGCAGCTTCATACCTGGAATACGAAACTAAGTTGAAAATTACTAAGACTTCATTTTCGCATAAAAGAAAAATTGCCTTTATCACACTGGAATTCTTAATTTTCTCAGAATCAAAATTAGTTATTTTAAAAGGCAAGGAATAAAGTACATTGAATGAATGGAATTATAACCAAAGCCAATATGATCAAGATCATTTTCCCCAAAGCCTCATTTGAAAAGAATTTGACATTTTAATGTGAAAAGTCACAGAAGTCCTTTACGTTTAACTAAGCTCCTCAAAATATTGTGCCAAATACTTAACATTTATATTAAAACACTTTAAGTTGTATTTTTACCATATACATGTCCAAAAACAATCCTGAAAAGAATATTTTCTTACAATAAAAAACTTCCTGCTTTTCAAAGTCTGATCGGTTGCAATCATAAAAATACTAGGTTCCTGTTTATAAGCTCATGATATGAAAACAATTATGTCCAATAGCTTCAGGGGAAAGTACAAACTAGAATTTACTGTTAATAATTTCTTCCTCATCTTAGTCATCTATGTGAAGTACAGTAGGAAGGAGTCAAATGTTAGGACTTACTCTTCAAAAAGTTGGAAAACGACAGGAGTTACTGCCAGGTCCCACTCTGTTACACAAACTCTGGTTTTACATCAAGATCACCATGGTTTTATTTTAGTCATCCTCTGATTTACTGTCCACACTTTCTTCATATTGCATAGAACAATCATATGTTTAATTAAATCTGGAAAAAGTAATAAGCATTCCACATTTTGGGGGTAGCAATATGGGCCTCCCCCTGTGTTAAACATGTCGCAGTTTATAGCTAAGCTGACAGTTCAAAGGCTGAACCGGAATAACCAGGACAGCTTGACTTTGCTGGTTTCCCAGTTGCATAGCTTGCAATCTCTATTTCATCGAGGTAACAGGGCACGGTAACAGGAACAGATTGTTGCATCAGCAAAACTGAACCAGCAGCAACTTTCTCCAAAACTGTAACTGTTTTTCTAATGTGCAATCTCTATCAGGGCTAAGGTTATTGAATCAAATGCTAATAGAAGTTATTGTGGCCACTAGCTCTCTAAGTTGAATTTAGAAGCCGTTCTTTTCTCTCCTGCCTGAAAGATCTGGTCATCTTCCTAGATCTTCTTCCTAGTTGTTAGGTTCTGAACCAAATATCCTTTTGTATCTGTGCGAAATTGTGATTTGATGTTGATCACTCCATTTATCTTGGCATCATGCCACAAACACTTATCCATTTAGAAAATGACATTCCCTCCATTCCTTATGATTTACTTCTTCTCTACTGGGTCACTTTTAAGATAAGTTCTATGATCAAGGTAACAAAAAGACTGGAAACCCTTGGATCATGGAAATGGCTTTCTGGTAGATATTCTCTGTTAAATCTCTGTTAAATCATCCCTGGCTTTCCAATGTCCTTAGCAAGGTAGTATTTTAGTATTAAGAGAGCTTTCTTCCCACAACTACATGACAACTACAACTCATATATAATATGAGTGACTTCTTGCAAATCTTTGTTTTATTACTTAATACTTACACCGAAGTTATTCCAAAAGGCAGTACTATTTGGTGATATATAGAATTTTTTCCAGAAAGGTGAGTAGCAATAAATAACATGATATTTTGGAACTGTTATATAATAACTTGTATATGATATGTCTGGGTATTTATGCATTTCTCAAACTGTAGCAAATATGCATTATTCAAGTTAGTATTTGGGATTCCTACAACTGAACCCCCTTGATTTTTCTTTGGATCTTAGTTCCTAATGCTAATCTTTCTTACTAGTTTCTCCAGTAACTTCAACAGGTGTGGACAATGCACAGGGCTTCTCAAAGTGCAATAAAATTATGCCTGGAACTGTAGAAGTTATATTCCAGCTTATTTGACCAGAAAGAAAATCTACTAGGGCCAGCCATGAACTAAAGGAAACAGCACAAACTGAGTCAGCCCTAGGATTGAATCCCAGCTCTTCACAGTTTATTAGGTGTGTGACCTTGGGCCAATCTCTTCATCTCAAGTCTCATTTTTTTTAATCTGTAAAATGGGGATAATAACACCTATCTTACACACTGGAGTGAAGATTAAGATATTACATATGTAGTGCAGTATACGATATATACTAGGTGATTGTGGGAAGGAAGAATAATTTTCCCTGTACCTTCTGAGTTCTTAGCTGAGACCCCTGTAATAAAAGACAGATGAACAAGAGAAAAACAAATTTATTAACATGTAGACGTCATGTATACCTGGGAGATACCCAGGAAAAATGAATAACTCAGAGAGGTGGCTTTAGGATTCAGGTTTAAATACCTTCTTAATAGGGAAAGGGGAGGAGGGATGTAGGCCTCTTAGGGGAGAGTAAATGATTTTTAGGAAGGATGAATTGGCTCTTAGAAGAATATATGGGAGGTATGATAGTTTGTGACAAAAGTTTATATGGATGTGTTGCTGATTTCTAGTCTCTTCTCCTGTGATGAGTCAATCTTCCGTGGTTGGATGAAACTCCTAGGGAGTTTCTGACAGTTGAGTTCCTTTTGGATGTCTTTAGGTACATGAAGAGAGTTCAGAGTAAGCCTCTCCCTGCATTTGTTGTTTTTCAAGTGCGTACAGCTCTTGAAAATAATCAGTACACCAAAGTGGCATATTTTGGGGTGGTATGTCCTGAACTCCTACAATCACATTTTGGGGTGGAATATTCTACTACTCTTCGTGTTCAATACAAAGTGTTTGTTTTTTCTCTTCCTTAACCGTAGGGGAACTTTGAGAGCTCCACCAGACCAATTCATAGACTAGTGAGGAGGAATGAATGAATAGAATGTCTTTCCATAGTTTTCTAGCAGTGGAAAATTTTTATTTGCTTAGAATAGAATGTCAAAGCTAACTCAGTTTTCTGCTGATTTTCAGAGGTTGGCTCTAGTTTACTTATTCCCACAGAGATTCTGCTGTACTATAGCACTGATTTCCTAGCATCCAACTTTGACAATTAAATGCTCTTAAAACCTTTTTCTTTTTGGTTGCAAAAATACATGGTAATAGCCCAAGATAGTTTTTCTTATATCACTACTCTACAGTTAGAGAATAAAACAACCAAATTAGTATTAGCCATGAAAATAAAACCTTCCACAGCATTCCTTAAGCCATATTCAAAGCAAAGAAAAAATTTAAATGCTATATTATCTTAGGAAAGCATTTAAGATTGTCACAGATTTTACATGATTCATGTAATTTACCTCACATTTGATTCTCATTTCATATGTATTTGAGCAATTTATTAGGAAAATGTTTACAATACAATGTGTTTTAAAATTTATGAAAGAAACTTGCATCTTTTAACTTGTAGCTGCTACATAATTTTAACAGAAGTGAAGTAAACAGCAGGCAATAATAATCATTAAACAGTACCTGGTACCCATACACCCCTCTCACTCACTCTAGTACCCTTGTGTGTTTTTCCATTTTACAGTTGTGTTTTCCCATTCTGAAGTAGCTCATCTATTATGCTTTTTGACTGTATACTTTAAGTTGAATTTATTTATATAAGACACTAAGCTTGTTGTTTTAGTTGTTTCAATATTTTCTACTAAAGAGTAAAATTTTACCTTGTTACCAGATTCAGAAGAAGATGTTGTTGAAACTCCTGCTGTGTCCCATGATGAACACACACACCAAGAGATAAAGGGTCAAAAAACACTGGCAACTCCTGCAGTTCGTCGCCTTGCAATGGAAAACAATGTAAGTTTTCTTCATATTTAAGTGTGAGATCACACAGAAGGTATACATGTGTATCTATGAAGAATTACCAGCTATCCCATGATGAGATGGCTCAAGTTGGGATTAAAGGAAACATGAAAATGTCTGTTACTAAAAAGTGATAGTTGCATAAAAGTCCTCACGAGCAATGAAAAGAAAATTGTGAACTTATTATTCATGTTAATTGGGAAGTGTGGATTTATTATTCTTCCTGAGCGCCTAATAACAGTCAGGGCTACCATTTATTGAGCACTTGTAAATACTAGTGTCTTAGATCAGGTACCCTACAAGCATAGCCTGAGACAAGGGTTTGGGAACACATGATTGATTGATTGAGACAGTGATCATGTTTACTAGGAATGAAGGAAGCAGTATAGGGAAGGGATGGGAAATGGGTCAGGCAAGGATGTGGTCCCAAGGATCTGCCTGATCCCAGGGAGGCAGGGAAAACCATAGAGCTATACTGACTTGTATCAAGGAGCCTGGCCTTCTGTTTTCCCTCTTGCCTGACAGTCATTGCTGCTTTACCTCCAAAGTGAGATGGCTCCTAGGCATTGTGCTAATAATTTACATGTTATCTCATTAAATCTTCACAACTCTGAGACAAAGGGCCCTTCTAAGACTTAGAGAGGTCAAATAACTGGTCCAAGGTCACACAGCTAACCCAGTGGTGGAACCAGGATTCTGTGAGAGTCTCTGTGACTCTAAAACCAGTGCTCTTAATCATTAATAGTGTCTCAACAATTGATGCCTCCATTATTTGAGCACTTCTGAGCCAGACAGTATATACATACATTATCACTAATCCTCACAGTAACCTTGCAGACTGGTTTGGGTTATCCCAGATGAGAAAAGGTAGAGAAGTTGATTAAGTTGCCTAAAATCAAGTAAGTAGCTGAACTGGGGATTTGAGCACAAATCTGTGTGGTTCCAAAGCCTGAGTTCTTTCCACTATGCCTCACAATGCAGGCTTTTGTTTGTCTGTCTGTTTTTGAGAGAAGTAGTTAAATTACAGTTGGGGGGAAAAAAGGTTACATTTTGGGAATAGGTAATAAGAGTCATTAAAATGTTCATTCTCCTTCAGCTAGTTATCCTACCATTGGGGAAGTATCCCAAGGAGATAATCTAGGATATATTAAAGTGTTTTATATAACCAAAAATTAGAAGGCACACATGTGTTCAAAATCAGGGAAATGCTTAGGAAAATTATGTTATAAACCCTTAATGAAAATTTATTAGCCATTGAATGTGTTCAAACATGAAGACGATTTAGCTTAACAGAAAAATAGAAATAGTAATATGGAACACTACACTGTTAAGGGCAGCAGGTGAAATAACGATCTTATATATTGCTTTGAAAGCTATAAACATTTTACCATTTTTTAAAAAATTATATAAAAGGACAACCTGTAGAAATATATGATGTGGCTTTCCTTTTCCTAAAGATGTGTATAATTAGAGCATTTGTATAATTACTAGAAATTAAATAACAGATTTATTATTGTAAAATCACCTTTTCCCCCCTTTTTTTGGCAGTTTGTATATTAATTATTGAGTTTGTCTAAAATTAAAAACCAGTGGCACTTACAGTTGTTTGTAATTACCTAAAAATTATGTTTAAATTCTTAGAGTTCATTTGTTATAAACTAAATGTTTGATGTGATAAAGTCCTTTACTCTTTTGTGGTCATTATTAGAGAAGCATTAATACAAATGAAATAGGACTTAACCTTGAGAGTTTAACTAATATACACTATGCGTGAGGATATCATCCAAGCTAATGTGTCTTTTTATTTAAATACAGTTCAATTTAGTGAAATATTTTATCTCTATTACCAAACATAGGAAGTGATTAAGTAAAGCCAGATCACAAATGTTTCCAAGAAGTATCATGAGTGCCCAGTAGAAAGTGGAATTAGATCATCTATTGTTCGTTCTGTGGAAAGCAATAATAAAACTTAACTATTTGACCCTTAACTTGGACCAAGGAACTCACATTCCAAGTATGCCTCAATAAAGTTAATTTCAGTGTTTTGTACTGATCTTTCTAAAACAGCCATCAGAAAAAAAACTAATTCGAGAGAGCTTTTATAGGATGATTATTTTAACCATTACATGTTTACTGGTAGCCAAGGTCAGAAACAGTGGTCTACATTTGTTACAGTGTTTAACTCTTGTTTAAACTTTCAGTTCTTCTTATGTAGTCTCCAAGAATAGAAAAAAATCAAATAAGAATTATGCAAGAAATTTAGAAATAGTTGACTGTTTAAAAATGTGTTTTCATAAATAGCTATATACAATGTAGATATTACATTGTTACCACATGGGCAAATGAACAGTAAGTACAGAAGTAACAAATGATCACTTATGAAGAGTATCTATAGTTTATAGCATTCTGTTGAGAAGATGAAAATGTTATTTATAGTTTGCAGCGTTCTATTAAGATAATTAAAATGTTATTTCCTTATACTAATTTATTGGGCAGAGATACTTTTTTACCTTCAGTTCATTTAATTTCACTTAGAGACCTCAGTGATGGGTTTATTTATTTTTAGGTAGTTTTATTTTTAGCATTAAAATATGTCATTTTTTAGATTAAGCTGAGTGAAGTTGTTGGCTCTGGAAAAGATGGCAGAATACTTAAAGAAGATATTCTCAGCTATCTGGAAAAGCAAACAGGAGCTATACTACCTCCTTCACCAAAAGCTGAAAGTATGCCACCTCCACCAAAACCAAAAGAGAGAACTATTCCTATACCAATATCAAAACCTCCAGTATTCACAGGCAAAGACAGAACAGAACCCATAAAAGGTAATAATAATAGTAATGTAAGGTAATAGAGTAATTATTTGGGGGGAAGCTACTTCAACATGATGAAATTACAGTTTTTCTAGGAAAAGCTTTAATATATACTGATAATTTTTGAAGAGTAACATGTTAGCAGGTTTCTTAGAGTATAAATTTGTGTACAGATATTTTTTCTGTTTGAAGACTTGCTCGGTATATTTTAAATATTATTTTTTGTTAGCTTTCAAAACAACTACTTCTGATTTGTTATTTACAAATTCTTAGGATGATTAACTTCCAGAAGAGTGGCTTTGCAAGAAGCCATTGTGTAAATACATGGCTTGCATCCTTTTGAATTTATTATTATTATTATTATTTTGGCATTATTATTATTATTATTTGTTTGGCTGCATTGGGTATTCGTTGCTGTGCTCGGGCTTTCTCTAGTTGCGGTGAGCAGGGGCTATCCTTCGTTACGGTGCAAGGGCTTTTCATTGCAGTGGCTTCTCTTGTTGCGGATCACAGGCTCTAGGTGTGCAGGCTTCAGTAGGTGTGGCACGTGGGCTCAGTAGTTGTGGCTCACAGGCTCCAGAGCACAGGCTCAGTAGTTGTGGCGCACGGGCTTAGTTGCTCTGCGGCATGTGGGATCTTCCCGGACCAGAGCTCGAACCCGTGTCCCCTGCATTGGCAGGCGGTTTCTTAACCACTGCACCACCAGGGAAGCCACCTTTTGAATTTTTTACATACCACAGTGTTGAAAGCAGTTACCTGTTATATTATTACAATTGACACTGGGTGTTGTGCTATAGTCAGTGCTTCAGCATTGAAATTACTGGCTTTCAAGTTATGTAATGAAGATGGTAGCTCCAAGAGGAAGAGATTAATTAAGAGTAAGTAACATTAGAAAACCTTCTATTTTAGTTTTTAAAGGGCTTAAAGGATTAAAGAATTTTTATAAAGTACATATATATGCATATATGTATATATATGCATATATATATGTATATTTAATGTTTTCCAGGCTTTCACAAAGCAATGGTCAAGACCATGTCTGCAGCCCTGAAGATACCTCATTTTGGGTATTGTGATGATGTTGACCTTACTGAACTGGTTAAGCTGCGAGAAGAATTAAAACCCATTGCTTTTGCTCGTGGAATTAAACTCTCCTTCATGCCCTTCTTCTTAAAGGTAAGATTTTAGCCATTTCAAACAAGGCTTGAGTAAGACGTTTAAATTTTGTTTTGCGAATATGCAATGTGTTAACTATGGATTTGAATAAAAATATATTTCTCACAATATCACATAGTTAGAAAAATGTACAAGTACACTCTTTGTTTCATGGAAGTTTATAAAATTGAAATTTCTGTGTCAGATTTTTATCTACTTATCTCTTTGAGCTAGGTGAGGATTGTCCTGCCATGTAGATAAAGCCTTTAATTCTGAAAGGATCACTCCAGCAAAGTCCTGATTTGAAGAAAAGTGAGACTTGGGATTGATCTTCCACTTTTCAACAAACTTATATTGAGGCCTCTGGGAATCATTTCTAGTACTAGGCCTTGGTGCCAGTATCAAAAGAATAAGGCCGTCAGCTGACCTTGAGCAGCCCACTAACCACGATTTAGAAAGCAGCCGCCATATGCCTGACCCCGTACCAAGCGTGCTGTATACATTATCCCTTTTAATGATCAGAATAATGTTAACATGTAAATATTGCTATCCCCATTTTCCATTTAAGGAAATTGGCACTCAGAGAAGTTGAGAAACTTGTCAAGAATTTACATCTAACAAGTGGAGAAGCTAAGTTTTCGGTTCTGGTCCATTTTTCTCAAAAATGCATACTGTTGTCTCTAAATCCAGTGTGGCTTCCTACCAGCCCTTTCCATGGTTCTTTTCAATGGTTCCCCTTCAGGATTGCCTTCAGGATGGTTTCTAAATGCGTTAACGTGGCGTAAAAAAGTATTTCTATGCGTCTCTGCCACCCACCTCTCCAGTCTTCTCTCTCACAGTCACTCTCTCTGCTATAGCCAGATTAAGCTACGCATAGTTGCTGGAATACACAACTTGACCTGAAATGCCGCCTCCTCCCTTGATCAAATACATGTGCATCCTAAACACCAAATTTTGCTCCAGTGTAGAACAGAGTACAGAAGCCGGTTCCTCCTACAGAAGCCAGTGGTTGTCACAGTTTGAGTTAAATGGCCTTTTGTTTCTCATTGCAGTTTATCTCAATGTTGTGAAAGTGTTTATACTCAGTTGTCTTTTCACTGATGCTGAGTCTTGTAAGGCAGAAGCTGTTCTCCTATATGTCCATCTTTTTAACAACTACCCTCACAGGGAAAGAGATGGTCTACAAACATGAGATGTAGTAGGTGCCAGTAAATGAGAGATCTGATCTATATTACAGCTATAGAGGGTCATCTGTAGAGACACAGCAATTGAAACACATGGATGAGATCACCCAAATTATGTGTGAAGGAAAAGAAAAGAAGGCTAAGGGTTTTACATCAGTGTTTAAGGGGTAGGTAGAAACTGAGTTGGCAAAGGCAATGGAAGAGGCTGAGTGGGGTCAGTGGTTTGACAATAGGAGAACCAGAAAAGAGTCACTTAATAGCCAAGTGTATCTATTGCTGCATAACAAACCACCCCCAAATTTCATGGTTTGAAACAATTACCATTTATTATTTCTCATGAATCTACAGGTGAGCAGGACCTGTCTGCTGATCTTAGCAGAGCTCACTTATATGTCTATAGACAGGTACTAGATTGGCTAGGGGCCAGCTGGTGTAGGGTGGCCTCAGTGAGGATGACTCATTTCTCTTCTGGATGTCTCTCCTATCTACCCAGTATGCTAGCCTGCACATGGTCTCAGTACTGCCGGGGGTGAAAGAGAGGAAGCAGGATGTTAGCACTTTCCCCGAGCTGTGCTGCACTGAGTTTGTTTTTAACTCATTGACCAAGGCAAGTCACATGACTAAGCTCAGAATCAGCTTGCAAGAGCACTACCAAGGGACTTGGATAAGGAGGCTCCTTACAGATTGGGGCCTTTGATTCAGCCTCTCACACCGAGAGACAAGAAAAAAGTTTTAAGGGGAAAGTAGATAATGGTTATATGCATTACAGAGGTTAAATAGGATAAGGGATGGGAACAGGCTATTGGATTGGTAATGAAGAGGTCATGTGTGGCCTCAGCCAGAACTTACTGAATAAAGTATTGTTGAGGTAGAAGCTTGGTTGCAGTTAGTTGGGGAATGAAAGAAATTGAGGAAGAGGAGAAACCTGAAAAAATATGCAGAAAGGCAGACAGGGCATAGGTGCAGGTGACAGTTACGGTGGTTGGAGTAGATTGAAGAAAGGTTCCATCTGCTCCCTCCCCTCCTGCACACCCTCAAGGAAAAATTGAGCAGGTCTGTAGGCTGAGGGAAAGAGCTGGAAAATGGAAAGTTAAAAATGTGTGAATGGGGGGCTTCCCTGGTGGCGCAGTGGTTGAAAGTCCGCCTGCTGATGCAGGGGACACGGGTTCTTTCTACAGAGGAAAATCACTTGTTCTTTCTACAGAGGAAAATAGCTTACTGCCTTTCTGTTTTTGTTGCGGTACGCGGGCCTTAGGCTCCGGACGCGCAAGCTCAGCGGCCGTGGCTCACGAGCCCCGCCGCTCCGCAGCATGTGGGATCTTGACGGACCGAGGCACGAACCCATGTTCCCTGCATTGGCAGGCGGACTCTCAACCACTGCGCCACCACGGAAGCCCTGCCTTTTTGTGTTTTAATTCAGTGTTTCTTTGAACTACAGGTTTGCTTCTCACGGAAACCTTAAGACTCTACGTGTAAGTGAGGAAAACATGTAGAATTTAGACCTTTTTTTGGTACTTTGGTCAGTCTGCATAGTTACTTTGAAAATCTCCTTGATGTTTACAAGCTCCCTGATTACTTTATCTTTTATTCTTAAATGATAAGGGTAACCTAGTTCCACATTGCTGGGAGGTAACATAGAGAGTAATATGCCTGGTACATGTAGACTTGCAATTAAACTCAGCTTAAATAAGAGTTCTTTCCTTCCATCCTTTCCATCTTATTGCTTCAAATCCCCTATCCTTTCCAAGTTAAAAGTGCTAACATTGTATTTCTCTCTCTAAACAGGCTGCTTCCTTGGGATTACTACAGTTTCCTATCCTTAATGCTTCTGTGGATGAAAACTGCCAGAACATAACATATAAGGTTGGCTATGTGCTGTGATAAATAAAAGTGCAAATGTGCTTGTAGGTTAAAGAAGCTTCTATTATACCTCAAGTGGTGATCTTCTTCAAACTGGAAATTAAAGTATGGGGTAAAACATTAAACTGAAGATAAATCTGTTGCTATTGATGTTGGTTTTACTGGTTAATAATACTATTCAGATATGCAGATTGCCATTTTTAACGCCTTTTGGTTTTCTGGTTAAAATAATGGAAATATACAGCTGTGAGGCAATGGTTTACATTTCCCATCGTACATATCCTCTCCGCAAACAGAAGAGCTCTCTCAAAATGGAATTCCTGCAGTTTTTAAAACAAGAATAATTTAGGGACTTCCCTGGTGGTCCAGTGGTTAAGACTTCGCGCTCCCAATGCAGGGGGCCCGGGTTCAATTCCTGGTCGGGGAACTAGATCCCGCATGCCGTAAGAAGATCCCGCACACAGCAACGAAGATCCTACGTGCCGCAACTAAGACCCGGCACAGCCAAATAAATATTTAAAAAAAAAAAAATTAAATAAAATCACATGCTTGATACCCATTTTAAAAAATAAACAAAGGGACTTCCCTTGTGGTCCAGTGGTTAAGAATCCGCCTTCTAATGCAGGGGATGCGGGTTCGATCCCTGGTCGAGGAACTAAGATACCACATGCCGCAGGACAACCAAGCCCCAAGCGCTGTGGAGCCCGTGTGCCACAATTAGAGGCCTGGTACAGCCAAAAATAAGTAAATATTTTTTAAAATTTTAAAAATAAATAAAATATAACAAGAATCATTTAAATGAGCAAAGTACTGAAAGTTTGAATTCGTTGAGTGAACTCTTCTGTTTGGAGTGAAAGTTCATTAAGGCTGAGAACTCTTTTGAGGATGCGGCCCTTACTTATATTTCTTATGAGAAATATATAACCAGGAAGTGAGCTTTACATTCTGGGGGGGTTGGATCTAAAATCTTTCCATGTTATTAACACAACTTCCTCATTAAGTATATACTTGTTGCAAACAATTCAGACAAGAAAATAGTGATACTTACCTTCAGTCCCATAATCCTAAGATAACTCACTTTATGCTGAGATGTACATCTGTCTAGGATTTTATTTTTACACAGTTAAAAAATATGGGGCTTCCCTGGTGGCACAGTGGTTGAGAGTCTGACTGCTGATGCAGGGGACACGGGTTCGTGCCCCGGTCTGGGAAGATCCCACATGCCGCGGAGCAGCTGGGCCCGTGAGCCATGGCCGCTGGGCCTGCGCGTCCGGAGCCTGTGCTTCGCAACGGGAGAGGCCACAACAGTGAGAGGCCCGCATACCGCAAAGAAAAAAAAAAATGGAATTATATATATAATATATATATATAATATCATATATCTTTTTAAATTTAAAACATTTTTCTTTTAACTATTTTCTATTTAATATGTTTTAGACATCATTACATGTCAATAAATATAGCTTTGTTATCATTTGTTTAGCCAGTGACTTATTGATAAGCATTTTGATCATTTGCACTTTTTCAACCTTATAAACAATCTGACTCAGCATCTCTGTTCATCTCTACATACTTTTGCATTTATCTCCTTAGCACACATTTTTGTAAATGTTGGTATGTACTGTTAAGTGTTCTCCAGAAAGTATATACCAGCTTACACTTCCACTAACAATGGATGGAAATAATCTATTGCCCTATATTCTTACCAAAAAAAATTTCTTTTTCAAAAAAATCTTTTAAAATTATTTCTTTTAAATCATCACCAATATGGTAAAAATAGTTTTCTATAGTTGAGTTCATAAGGCAGTAAAAGTTGAGACTTTCTTTTCTGTTAGCTTACGAAAAGGCTGCTGTATAATTGTTTGTTTGTTTATTTTTAGGCTTCTCATAACATTGGGATAGCAATGGATACAGAGCAGGGCTTGATTGTACCTAATGTGAAAAATATTCAGGTCCGCTCCATATTTGAGATCGCCACTGAATTGAACCGCCTCCAGAAATTGGGCTCTGCAGGTCAGCTCAGCACCACTGACCTTACAGGAGGAACATTTACTCTTTCCAACATTGGATCAGTGAGTAATAGTAATATTCAAGTTCATAAACCATAACTTAAGATTTGTGACCATATGCTCAGTTAAAAATATAAACTTTAATTTGCCATTTGTTCCTCAGAAGCTTAATTTTTCTACTCTATTTTGTTTGTTTTTTAGATTGGTGGTACCTACGCCAGACCCGTGATATTGCCACCCGAAGTGGCAATTGGGGCCCTGGGAAAAATTAAGGTATGTTTGTTACATAGTTGAAAAAAGAGTTTAAGCAAATTGGGGTAGGAAAAACAAAGAAGAGTAACTGTTTCTGAGGTTTTTCCCCACACTTTGTAGGTTTGAGTATGGTATTGGGTTTAGTAAGCCAATTATTTCTTCCTAAGAACTAGGTCTATAACTCCGGTGGCTGCCTCTCTGTAGAGTAAATGCTTGTGACCTGGATTGTTTCTGTATGGATCAACCATTGTGGATTATGCCAGGCACAGGTGTGAGTCTTTATGAATAATCACAAATATAGCCAATCTGAGTCTATCAAAATATCTTTATTTCAGAATACCAAAGAATAATAGTAAGCCAATCCAAATTATTATTTATAACGGTAAAACACCATTGAGAGAGTTTTTCTTAAACTTTGCTCTGTTCAAGAATCATTGGGAGTGCAGTTAAAAATGAAGATTTCTTGGCCTTGGGGAAAGAACCTCCAAAATTTACATATTAAACAAGAACCCATGTGGCCATGTTATAGGAGACTGACTTAAAATAAGGGTTGCAGTGATTCTTAACCCTGGCTACACATTAGAATCATCTGGAGAGTGTGAAAAAAGTGCCCAAGCTCACCCCATACCAACTGCACCAGAATTTGTGGGGGGCTGGGGCTTGGGCATCCCTATTAACTCAGGGTTGAGAACCACCCAAGTTAAAGAAATAAGCTCATAGATACCATTTCAATACCACCATTATTAAATGTCATTGTCACTACATTAACCTTGATTTTGATCTTCACGTTTTCAGAAGAACCTTTCTTCTTCTCTGTATTTATAATGCTTCCACATGGAACATCTCTGGGACTTGCTTTTCATGAGTTTATTACTTTCATGTTGGCATCCAAAATCTTCACAGATACTTTCATTCAGCCTTTGATTTGCTTTCTAGCAGCTGGTACTTTGGCTGCTAAGTTACTCCCTCTTCTAGCTCTACTTTCCCTTCTGGCCCACGGAAGAGACAGGGAAGAAAAATAGGAACACATAGCATGACACTGTTCTGTCCAAATCAGAAGTTTCTCTAAGGGATTAACTTCTCTATCACTCGTCCGCCCCCAACAAGCATTCAGCATTTGATTCTCACAGAATTCTGACTTCTTGCAGCTTACAAACAAGCCATCATACCTATCTAACAAAGTTTTGTTTTCCCTTTTCCTGAAAGCAGTTTGTTTTCTTCTGAATTGTACATATAGGTATATAATTGTGGTAAACTATACATGACAAAGTTTACCATTTTAATCAAAGTGTATGGTTCAGCAGCAGTAGGTATAGTCACACTGTTTGCAACAATCACCACTGTCCATCTCCAGAACTTTTTTATCATCCCAAACTGAGACTCTGTGTGTACAATATATACCACATTTTGTTAATCTATGCATCTCTAATGAGTATTTGGATTGTTTCCATTTTTTGGCTATTGTGAATAATGCTGCTATGAACATTGGTGTACAATTATCTGTGTGAGATGCATTTTTTCAGAATCATCTCACTCATGGTTTTTTCAGGTTATGAAGCATAATTCTTAAAGTATAAATCTGCAGTGACTTAATGTAGTTAATCCTTGTTGGGTAGGGACAGTATTTCATTCCTTTCTCGCTTTGGGTCATCTCTCCTTTGCTATCTTTTGTTTTCACTGTAAATTTTACACTGTCACTAAATAGTCTTAAGTCACTAAAACCTCCACATTCCTCCATTCTCAGTCCTTATCTTTCTTGACCTATTAGCTGCGCTTGAGTTGATCAATACTGCCTCTTTGGAAAACCTTCTTCACTGCGACTTGCAGAAAACCTCGCTAGTCTGCTTCCTCCCTACCTAGTGCCTGTTCCCTCTGAGTCTCCTTTGCCTGTACCTCCTCATCTCCCCCAGGGCTCAGTTCTGGCCCTTTTCTTTATCTGATCCAGTCTCATGGCTTTAAATACCATTTATATGCTGATGGCTCCCAAGTTTATATCTCCAGACCAGACTAAACCTCTCCTTTGAACTCCAAACTCTTATTTCCTACTCAGAAGTCTAACTAGGCATCTCCAATTTCCTGCCCCTTCCCTCACCACCACACCCTCTCACCTGAAGCCTTCTCCTCTCAGTGACTGGCCATTCTGTTCAGAAACCTCCAATAGCTCCTCACCTCACTCCAAATCAAAGGCAAACTAGCTGCAGCGGCCTACCACAGGCTGTGACTGTTGTATCCGGGCTCTGAGGGGAGAACTACAGAAGGGGAGAGTAGGGCTCAGAAACCGTCGTTGCCCTTTGACAGAGTGATTTTATGTCTACTGAACCTAACGATAAGAGGTGGATCTTGCATTTTGTCTATCTTTTTATATCATTATAAAAAGATAATATATTTTTGATATATATTCACTTTTGATATATTTAAAAAAAAATAACCTGCAATGAATTCACTTTTTTTTAAATCTGTTTTTGGAAAAGTCAGAGGCAGACTGGGAAGCATAACTGTTGTCTTAGCAACATGCCCCCCTTCAGCCTGCTCTTTCTGTGTCATCTCCCACCTCTCACCCCGGCCCCTCCAATGCAGCCTCCCTGCCAACTTTGCTGGTCCTCCAACACTCCAGCCACGCTTCCCCCCGTCTTTCTCCAGGTGTTCATATGGCTTGCTTCCTCACTGCCTTCAGTGAGGACACCTTCTTGGTGAGGCTTTCCCTGCCCACCTGTTAAAAAAAAAATGCAACCTCTCCCCTATTTCCACCTCCTGCGTATAATCTCTATCTCCATTCCAAAGTGCTTTATTTTTTCATTTGCACTTTTCACTATCTAACACACTATATATATTTTACTTATTTATCTTAATCGTCTGTCTCTCCCCATTAAAATGTTAGCCCCAAGAGGGCAAGGATTGTTATTTGTTTTGTTCATTGCTTTATCCCCAGAGTCTAGCAGAGTACCTGGTACATGGTAGATGCTCAGTAAATAGCTGTTAAATAATTGAAATCTGAAACGAAGTTCACTGTACATACCGAAATTATACAGACGACAGGAAATATCTTGGAGAAACTCTGAAAGCTTGAAGCACACACTCACAAAGATGGGAAGAGTAGTAGTTAGCATTATCAAAAGTCATTTGGGATGCCCATTTCTTCTCTATTATAGGAAGGGAGATTTGCCTACTCTTTCACCATTGTTTTTACTAGAGCTTGCTTTGAGCAAGTGAAGGCTGACTCTGTCCTTTTCCTTATTTGTAGGCCCTTCCCCGATTTAACGAGAAAGGGGAAGTATATAAGGCCCAGATAATGAATGTGAGCTGGTCAGCTGATCACAGAATTATTGATGGTGCTACAATGTCACACTTCTCCAATTTGTGGAAATCCTACTTAGAAAACCCAGCTTTTATGCTACTAGATCTGAAATGAAGATTGATAAGACATCCTTGAACTTTCTGAGCTTCAAAAGAAAATGCAGAGCCCAGCTGTGCAGCACACGTTCCTCATTGCAGTTTGTATTGTAAATGATTTGTAATGTATGATTACAGTTCTGAGACACAATATGTATCACTATTCTGTTAGAGATTTTACTGGAAAGGAATAATGGTATAATAGTTCTCCTGGGCTGTCACATATTATAGGTCATAGTATGCCTTCTTAATATAGTGCTGAGGTCTTTGTGTCAATGGATTGAAACTGGCAGGAACAACAAAATGAATATTACTGAAAGACAGGCCGCCATATACAGTATTTCCCCTATTTCTTTCTTTCTTTTTTTTATTTTAAACTAACTTTTTTTTTTATAAACTTTTAAAAATTTATTTTATTTATTACTTTTGGCTGCATCGGGTCTTAGTTGCGGCATGTGGGATACTCGTCGAGGCATGCGGGATCTTTTGTTGTGGCACGGGATCTTCATTGTGGCATGCGGGCTTCTCTCTAGTTGTGGCATGTGGGTTTTCTCTCTCTAGTTGTGGCGTGCAGGCCCCAGGGCATGTGGGCTCTGTAGTTTGCGGCGCACGGGCTCTAGCTGAGGTACGTGAGCTCAGTAGTTGTGGCTCACAGGCTTAGTTGCCCTGGGCATGTGGAATCTTAGTTCCCTGACCAGGGATTGAACCCACATCCCCTGCATTGTGAGGCAGATTCTTTGCCACTGGACCATCAGTGAAGTCTCTAAACTAATTCTTAATGAAACTTTTCAATTATACTTAGTTGGGAAAAGGAATTTATATGCAAAAGTATTTTCTATTTCCCCACAAGAATGCAAATTATTGTATAAAATAAGTGCAATTGTATTTACCTTTTAAGATATCCTGGAGTGTGTTGCTCTGTAGAGATTATCATCTGTAAATATCTTATTTGTATAAATTAATATCTTTTAAAAGGGAAAATTATAAGCTAATCTTAAAAATGCCCAATTATAGTTTTATAGCCAGTAAGGCCACTAAAAGTATTTGTTTAAAGTGGATATACTTTTAGAATTTGGTAATGGTTTAGTGTTTTATTGAGAAAAACTTCACCTTTACAACCTTGCTTCAATGTAAGGAAGGTACTTTAAATGTAGCAACCACTGACATTGTGTTACATTCAGAAGTCCATTGCCTTTTAACTTTTTTTTTTTACTTTCTTAGTCTTCAGCTAAAAAAATAGGATAGATTAATAAGTTAGGGTCTATTCTATTCTTCATATCCTGAGAAGGAATATGAATAAGGGGAGAGAGAAGACTAATGGGTAATTATGGACATTAAAATAAAAAATAAATTTTGCACAGAAATAAAGGTATCCTCATGATCATTTTGTTAGAGGCCCACTTGAATCAGAAATTCATGTTGTTTCTAATATTGTCTAATTGAATACTGTATGTTCAAGTGAAGTTTTGTGACAGAAAAAGTTGTTTTAATGTCTACTTGATTTTTTTCAAAATGGAAATGATGTATAATTCAGAAAATAATGGATCTAATGAATGTTATTTTTTAAATTCAGATAATATGAAGAGTTGCAAAGAAAATAAAATCAACCATAATCCTACCACTATTAACATTTTGATCAAGGTATCTGTATACATAGCTATTCTTTTTATGAAAATAAGGTTGTGCTGTATCTACTATTTTATAGTTTGATTTTTTTAATTTAACATTATGAGTCAATAAACAGCTCCACATTATGATACTTTTAAATGGCTGCATAATATTCGTTGTTTGCATTTATTACACATCCAAATGTTAAACATCTACTGTATACTAAGTGTGGTGCTAAGCAGTGGGTACACAATGCCCATCCTCATGGTTCCTGCCTTCATTGGGCTTACAGTCTGGGGAGCGAGACAGATATTTAATAATCATAAAAATAAGAATATAATTAACTTCTAAGTAGGAGAAAACAGGGTGCTATAAGAGCATCTAATAGAAGTTACTGATCCTGTCTGGGAAGATGAGGAGAGGATGTACCATAATTTAACCAATTCCCTGTTGATGGCATTTACAGAATTTTAAGTGAAGAATGACATGATCAGTAAAAATGTCCCCTTCACTTAAGAAATGTGAAAACTAGGAGAACAAGAGCTTTGAAATAAGTATGTAATATGTTCCCCTAAAAGTCCAACATCATTGGCTCAGAATAAACTCTTGAGCTATCTGTTCTATCCCAAATCCCTGCCATTGCCACCTTCTCTTTTGTCTCATCCTTTGAGAATTCAGCAAAGGATTTGCTTTCCATTGTGTGTTGGACCTTTAAGATAAGAGGATCCACTGGGAGGGATGAGGGGGCCAGGAGCACAGCCCTAGTAGCTGATCCACAGGGCTCCACACATCATAGGGTGGGAATTGTTTAGAACAAGGCCTTAGCCGTATTCCTAAAGGTTGAAATTAAAGGGAAGAAGCCAGAAAATTCAAGTCCTTCACTAGTTTGTCTGGAGGTTGGAAGGTACTATATGTCCATGGGGGAGAAGCCAAAGTTATTGGCCCCAAATTATTGTTGGGAGCGCCCAACAAGAAAATCAAGGTTCCATTCATTATGTAGGGCATTCCTCTGATTTTGAAAAGGAAGCACAATAGGGAAGGAAGTTTGAAGGACAGAAGCCAGATTGGTATTAATTTCCATTTTAGAGATCAAAATGTACCAAATCTTGAAACATTCCAAGAAGTGGTTACGTAGGGAAAAGAGAGCCCACAGGCCTGTTTCGGCATTTCCCATGGCTTTCCAAAGTGGGTCCCAAAGATCACTTGATGGATTTCTTTGCTGACCTCTAAGTAAACTACGGTTTGAAAAAGATGATGGAACTCACTCAGCACTACCCTGCAGCCCCGAAGTACAAACCTTTCCTTGAAGTCTTCAGACTTATTTAACATTCACCCTGTAATTGATTAATTAGTTCATTCTGCACATATTTATTACTGAATATATGTATTTAGTTCCAGGCCCTGGGATATACACTGTGGATACAGATGAAGAAGATAGATGAAGTTTCTGACCTCACAGTGAGAATTCTGGCTGGTGACTAAAGCCTTCACCAGAAGTGGGTCTGTGCCAGTAACTTGGAGGAGAGCAGTGCTTCTAGAGTTGAGTTGGATCTCCAGTCAGTTCTTAATGGTGGTTTTGCTCCTTCCCTATAAACTGTCTTTTCTCACTGAGGTTAGATCACTATGTCTCCTTTACACACTAGGCCTGCCTCATCAATCCTGCCTCACAAACCATACACCTAATAATAAGGTAGACTCTGTCCTTAGGTCACACAGACACAGGCCATTCAAGCTCTTCAGGTTATGGTTTGGGTGTTGCTTTTCATGAGGCAAGCAACAATAGGGGACCTACATGAGCCCAGACACTTAGGGAGCAATATGCAAGGGCTGTACCATCTGAGCATAATATTTTCAGAGTGCACATAAAAGAGCTTCTAATTAATGAGTCATCTAGCCTCTATGCTCATGAAATAGTGGTAGAGAGGGAAAAATTGAGTAAAATTTGAGACAATAATTATAATAGTGTCAGGCACCGCTAATGCTTACATATATTAATTCGTTTCGTCTCTCCAGAAACACTGAGGTAGGTGCAATGATTAGCCCTATGTGAGGAAACAGAGTTTAAGTACTTAGATGCGTGTGGATTAACATACGCTAAAGAAGTATACAAAGCTAAACTACTATACCTCACTTTGTGATACAAATGCCAGGATTGTCCATGATTTTATGCTGTTTGAGGAACTGGTATTATTGAGCTAAAAGAAAGAGAGTTTTTGTTTGTCTTAGGGGTCTTAGCAGTTTGAAATACTCCCCGAAGGCCCTGTGTTCTCCAGGCACTGAAAGGAAGGAGTTTTGGTGTTATGAATTCTCTGCAGCAGTAGTTTATGAGAGAAGCATGATGTCAGTTCACCTCAGAACCAGATCTACCAACATCCTCCTGTTCTCTTTACTGAGCCAGGCTTTACACACCAGAACCAAACTGTAGAAGAGCTGGCCATTGGGGATTCTCAGAGTACAGGATGCTTCCTTTAGGCATGAGAGTGAAACCTGAAGCTGCCTGCAGTGACTTCCCAGTTGTTCCTGGTGGCCTGTAGTAAAGCATGAAGACGATATCACATGCTTCGAGAGATGATCAAAGGAAAATCCTGAGGCTTCCAGAGGAAAGGATTGGGGTCTCAGTCCTTGCAGACAGTGCCTTATCTTCCCCAGGTACAAGCACTCAAACACTAGAAAGAGGTAAGCACAGAATTTGGGTTTTAAAAGATCCTCTTATGCCCTTTATTGTCCTAAGCTTCCATCACAATGAATTAGTCCCCATTCCCTGAAAACAACATGCAGTGTATTTCATGTTTCCATGCCTTTGCTGGGCTTGTTTCTCCACTCTGGTTTCCACCAGAAGAAAATCCAGAACAAAAGTCACTTCCTTTTTTAGACCTCCTCTGACTGTGCCTCCCTACGTTTGAATCAACATTTATTTTTCCTCTATCTCTCCTGCTTTGTCCACACCTCCAACAGGACTCATGCAGTGATGTAGCTGAATGAGTATGTCTTCACTGCTGGCCTGTGAACCCTCTCAGTAGCCCCAGCTCAACTGACTGGTACTCAGTATGTGCTGGTTGACTTCAAAAGAAATCTATGCCCTGGATCTGATTACGTTTTTTAATGAAGTCCTCATGTAGCATTGAAGCATTGCCAATGACCCAGAAAAGCATAATGTGAAGCAACCATGGCCATGAGGCCGCTCTTGTATCTGTGAAATGACTCTGAATGGCTATGCTTGCTACAAGGAAAAGTATCTAGAAGAAAAGGAATCTGTTCAAACCTCCTTATAATTGGTAAGACATTTGTTTTAAATTTTGAACAAAAGACAGTTATATTTTCTATGTGTTGTGTATATTTCATAGTTCATTGTAATTCCTCAGTTAATCAGAATGTTTAGTGCTTTCAAGCTCATTTTAGATTTTATAGAACTTGGATCATTATTTTGCTTTTTAAAATGTTTACAAGTGTTTCATTTATGCCACTACATCATGTGATTAAGCAAAGCAATGACTTATCTGAGGCCAAGCAGGAAATAACACAGCCAAATTCTCCAATGTTATTTATATGGAAAAACAATACCCACATTACAGTTGCATTTACTATGCGAAAAAAGTAGAAACTACTTAATTTATTGACTTACTGATTTATTGATTTATGCCCTGCCACTTTCAGAAAGAATTTCAGAAAGCAACTGTGTCCATAGTCATATTCACCACATTTGAACAGTATAACTATCATTGTTGTGTTGTTGTTTATAGCTACCTTTACATAATTTTTTTTATAAATAAAGTTTTATTGGAACATGGTCCCACACATCCTTTTATTTTTTTATTTTTTTTGGTACGCGGGCCTCTCTGTTGTGGCCTCTCCCGTTGCGGAGCACAGGCTCTGGATGCACAGGCTCAGCGGCCATGGCTCACGGGCCCAGCCGCTCTGCGGAATGTGGGATCTTCCCGAACCGGGGCAAGAACCCGTATCCCCTGCATCGGCAGGTGGACTCTCAACCACTGCACCACCAGGGAAGCCCCATTTTTTTTTTTTTTAACGCTCTATGGAGTTGGGGTTTTTGGGGGGTTCTTTGTTTTTTTATTTTTTGGTTGTGTTGGGTCTTCGTTGCTGTGCACGGGCTTTCTCTGGTTGTGGAGAGCGGGGGCTACTCTTCGTTGCGGTGCTTGGGCTTCTCATTGCGGTGGCTTCTCTTGTGGCGGAGCACAGGCTTTAGGCGTGTGGGCTTCAGTAGTTGTGGCTCACGGGCTCTGGAGCACAGGCTCAGTAGTTGTGGCGCACGGGCTTAGTTGCTCCGTGGCATGTGGTATCTTCCCGGACCAGGGCCCGAACCCGTGTCCCCTCCATTGGCAGGCGGATTCTTAACCACTGAGCCACCAGGGAACTCCACATTTTAAATTAAGCATCTCAGGACTTCTCTGGTGGTGCAGTGGTTAAGAATCCGCCTGCCAATGCAGGGGACACGGGTTTGAGCCCTGGTCCAGCAAGATCCCACATGCCACGGAGCAACTAAGCCCGTGCGCCACAACTACTGAAGCCTGCGTGCCTAGAGCCCGTGCTCCGCAACAAGAGAAGCCACCACAATAAGAAGACTGTGCACCACAACAAAGAGCAGCCCCTGCTCGCCGCAACTAGAGAAAGCCCATACATAGCAACGAAGACCCAACGCAGACAAAGACAAACAAACTAAAAAAACAAAAAGAGAGAGGGAATCTTAAGTTGAGTCTTGATTTTTCTCTGTTTCTCCAGAGACACAGAGACAGCACCAAGTCAGTTGTCTTCATCCCACTTCCTAGTTCTGCCTTTTTGCATCCCAGCCTTGCCAAAACTGAATTCTAGTTCCTCTGGTCGATGAAAACTTATTCAGATAATTTATATGTCCTTGGTAACCATCAGAAACCTAACTTGGCATCCACAGAATTTCTGTGAATGGGTCTCCCAGGGCATCCAACCCTGGGAAATCTACTCAGGGGACGTTCTGAATCCCTCCTGACTCAGTTCCTTCTCTGATACTCTTGCTCAGGTTTTAGGAAGTAATTCTCTAGTCATTTTCTCTCTTTTTTTTTCTTTTCTCTCTCTCTTTTTTTAACATCTTTATTGGAGTATAATTGCTTTAGAGTGTTGTGTTAATTTCTGCTGTATAACAAAGTGAATCAGCTATATGTATACGTATATCCCCATATACCCACCCGCTTGCATCTCCCTCCCACCCTCCTTATCCCACCCCTCTAGGTGGTCGCAAAGCACCAAGCTGATCTCCCTGTGCCATGCAGCTGCTTCCTACTAGCTATCTATTTTACATTTGGTAGTGTATATATGTCAGTGCTACTCTCTTTGTCCCAGCTTATCCTTCCCCCTCTCCGTGTCCTCAAGTCCATTCTCCACATCTGTGCCTGCTACTAGGTTCATTAGAACCTTTTTTTTTTTTTTAGATTCCGTATATATGTGTTAGCATACGGTATTTGTTTTTCTCTTTCTGACTTACTTCACTCTGTATGACACACTCTAAGTCCATCCACCTCACTACAAATAACTCAATTTCATTTCTTTTTATGGCTGAGTAATATGCCACTGCATATACCTGCCACATCCTCTTTATCCTTTCAACTGTCGATAGACACTTAGGTTGCTTCCATGTCCTGGCTATTGCACACAGTGCAGCAATGACCATTGTGGTACATGACTCTTTTTGAATTATGGTTTTCTCAGGGTATATGCCCAGTAGTGGGATTGCTGGGTCATATGGCAGTTCCATTTTTAGTTTTTTAAGGAACCTCCATACTGTTCTCCATAGTGGCTGCACCAATCTACATTCCCACCAACAGTGCAAGAGGGTTCCCCCTTCTCCACACCCTCTCCAGCATTTACTGTTTGTAAATTTTTTGATGATGGCCATTCTGACCAGTGTGAGGTGATACCCCACTGTAGTTTTGATTCATATTTCTCTAATGACTAGTGATGCCGAGCATCCCCTCATGTGTCTGCTGGCAATCTATATCCTCTTTGGAGAAACGTCTATTCATTTCCTCTGCCCATCTTTGGATTGGGTTGTTTGTTTTTTTGATACTGAGCTGCATGAGCTGCTTGTATATTTTGGAGATTAATCCTTTGTCAGTTGCTTCGTTTACAAATATTATCTCCCATTCTGAGGGCTGTCTTTTCATCTTCTCTATGGTTGCTTTCGCTGTGCAAAAGCTTTTAAGTTTCGTTAGGTCCCATTTGTTTGTTTTCATTTCCATTACTCTAGGAGGTGGGTCAAAAAGGATCTTGCAGTGGTTTATGTCATAGAGTGTTCTGCCTATGTTTTGCTCTAAGAGTTTTATACTGTCTGGCCCTACATTTAGGTCTTTAATCCATTTTGAGTTTATTTCTGTAAGGAAGTGTTCTAATTTCATTCTTTTACATGTAGCTGTCCAGTTTTCCCAGCACCACTCATTGAAGAGGCTCTCCTCTCTCCATTGTATACTCTTGCCTCCTTTATCAAAGATAAAGTGACCATAGGTGCATGGGTTTATCTCTGGGCCCTCTATCCTACTCCACCAATCTATATTTCTTCATGCCAGCACCACACTGTCTTGATTACTGTATCTTTGTATTATAGTCTGAAGTCTGGGAGCCTGATTCCTCCAGCTCCATTTTTCTTTCTCCAGATGGCTTTGGTTATTCAGGGTCTTTTGTGTTTCCATATAAATTGTGCAATTTTTTGTTCTAGTTCTGTGAAAAATGCCATTGGTAGCTTGATAGGGATTGCATTGAATGTGTAGATTGCTTTGGGTAGTAGAGTCATTTCACAATGTTGATTCTGCCAATCCAAGAACATAGTATATCTCTCCGTCTGTTTGTATCATCTTTAATTTCTTTCATCTGTGTCTTATAGTTTTCTGCATACAGGTCTTTTGTCTCCTTAGGTAGGTTTATTCCTAGGTATTTTATTCTTTTTGTTGCAATGGTAAATGGGAGTGTTTCCTTAATTTGCTTTTCAGATTTTTCATCATTATTGTATAGGAATTCAAGAGATTTCTTTGCATTAATTTTGTATCCTGCTACTCTACCAAATTCATTGAATAGCTCTAGTAGTTTTCTGGTAGCATCTTTAGGATTCTCTATGTATAGTATCATGTCATCTGCAAACAGTGACAGCTTTACTTCTTCTTTTCCGATTTGGATTCCTTTTATTTCTTTTTCTTCTCTGACTGCTGTGGCTAAAACTTCCAAAACTATGTTGAGTAATAGTGGTGAGAGTGGGCAACCTTGTCTTGTTCCTGATCTTAGAAGAAGTGGTTTCAGTTTTTCACCATTGAGAATGATGTTGGCTGTGGGTTTGTCATATGTGGCCTTTATTATGTTGAGGTAGGTTATCTCTATGCCTACTTTCTGGAGAGTTTTTCTCATAAATGGGTGTTGAATTTTGTCAAAGCTTTTTCTGCATCTATTGAGATGATCATATGGTTTTTCTCCTTCAGTTTGTTAATATGGTTTATCACATTGATTTGCATATATTGAAGAATCCTTGCATTCCTGGGATAAACCCCACTTGATCATGATGTATGATCCTTTTAATGTGCTATTGGAATCTGTTTGCTAGTATTTTGTTGAGGATTTTTGCATCTGTGATCATCAGAGACATTGGCTGTAGCTTTCTTTTTCTGTGTCATCTTTGTCTGGTTTGGTATCTGGGTGATGGTGGCCTCGTAGAATGAGTTTGGGAGTGTTCCTCCCTCTGCTATATTTTGGAAGAGTTTGAGAAGGATATGTGTTAGCTCTTCTCTAAATGTTGGATAGAATTCACTTGTGAAGCCATCTTGTCCTGAGCTTTTGTTTGTTGGAAGATTTTTAATCACAATTTCAATTTCAGTGCTTGTGATTGGTCTGTTTATATTTTCTATTTCTTCCTAGTTCAGTCTCGGAAGGTTGTGCTTTTCTAAGAAGATGTCCATTTCTTCCAGGTTGTCCATTTTATTGGCATAGAGTTGCTTGTAGTAATCTCTCATGATCCTTTGTATTTCTGCAGTGTCAGTTGTTACTTCTTTTTCATTTCTAATTCTGTTGATTTGAGTCTTTTCCCTTTTTTCCTTGATGGGTCTGGCTAATGGTTTATCAATTTTGTTTATCTTCTCAAAGAACCAGCATTTAGTTGTATTGATCTTTGCTACTGTTTCATTTCTTTTTCATTTATTTCTGATCTGATCTTTATGATTTCTTTCCTTCTTCTGACTTTGGGGTTTTTTTTGTTGTTGTTGTT